AAGTGGTGCAGTGGTTTCGGCACAGACTGTGGCATCGCAGTGGACAGTGCCAATGATTTTGTCCATAACGTTTTTGGTGCCGATGGCGTCAGCGAGGCTGGCGGAGCCGGCAGTGGTGCCGTAGCCTGTGTTGGAGATCTCAATGCCACTGCCTTAAGCAGTGTCAATGGTGTCATGGCAGAGGAGGTAGGCTTGCCTTTGCCTCGAGTCAGCACCGGAGTGCTGGGGATTGGCAGAGGCCATTGTGCAGGCGGTGCCGGAGGATCCTGGTGCCTCATAGGTACTCAGCCATGGTGTGATCATTACTGAGGAGAGAGACTGAGCCGAAGAGTTTCTTTTTGGTCAGGTCTCCCTGAGGAGAAGTTGCTGCTTATTTCCTTGTTGATTTTTTAGAGGAATAAGTCTTCCTCTGGGAAGAAGGTGAGGTCTCCAGGGATCTTTGTCCAGCGGGAGTCTGCCGGCTGGGGTCTGAAGCTGGTTGCAGAGACTTCTCCATTAAAATAAGCTTGAGGCACAGATCCCTGTACCTCCTAGCTCAAGCCTTTAGGTAGCTGTAGTGAGCACATTTTTGAGGGATGTGCGACTCACTCAAGCAGCGGACTCAGTGTGTCTATCTGTCCGTCTGACACCAGCATGGCATCCTGGCATGAAACACATCACTTAAAGCCCGGTGAACCAGGCATAACTGGAAAGATGTCTGTTCATTCCAGGGGTGAGCTTAACTAAGCTATTGAAAGAAATTATTTTTTTTAATTAAGAAAAACAGGAAAAAGGAGGTAAGTAACTGAACTACTAAGCTAAAACTATTTTAATGCTAAATGAGCTAATTTTGTGACACCGCTGGGAGCTCCATCTCAGGCAGAGGATGGTTGAGAAGGAACTGAGGGGGTTGGGTCGTGCATGCGCTAGATGAGGCACCAACGGCGCTGCAAGACGGGATCCTGCATACACAATCCGGGACAGGCACTGCTGCTGAAATTCTCTGATCAAAGGTGCAGGGATGCACCAACACCTGAAGTGGAGCACCCACAGGCACATCACTCGAAGAAGCTGCCTGAGCTATATCATCCCTCCCCACGTGGGATGAGGTCTTCCTTCTGTGCTCCAGACAAAATAACTTTAGAAGGGAATTCCTAGCCTTCTGAGTGCACTTGGGGAAAAAGTGGCTGAAAGAGCAGTGGCCAGGGAGGCAGTGGAAAAAAATCATACATCTGAGCACCATAGCTATGCCAACCTAACGCCCAACATAGATGCAGCTAGGTTGATGGACGAATACTTTCATCTACCTAGCTACTGTCGCTCTCGGAGATGGAGTTCCCATAGCGATGGAAAAACCCCTTCTGTCACTGTGCAAAGCAACTATACTACTACAGCAGCATAGCTACAGTGCCATCGCTGTGCTGCTGTAGTGCCTGTAGCCTAGACACACCCTTGGAATGCCCATTACTGAGTGGCAAGATCATTGGAGGGGCATGTCTTAAACCTCAGATTTAGCTTAATCTATAACAGCCTGGAGTCCTGGTGATGGGGGTGGGGCAACTATCTATGAAAAAACAGTAAAAAAATTCCCTTGGTTTAGGTCAACAGGCAAATTAACTATACTAAACACTAAAACTACTAAAAGAACAGGAGTACTTGTGGCACCTTAGAGACTAACAAATTTATTAGAGCATAAGCTTTTGTGGACTACAGCCCACTTCTTTGGATGCATACCTGCAACTGCTGAGGGGCTAAGTCAAGTCCATTCTGCCCTTATGCTCTCAGATGGGGGGTTGCAAGGACATCTGGGGCCTTGGTGTGGTCACAATGGACACTGCTAGCCAAAAGAATCCATTCTCGGATGCACTGGGCATGTGTACTCAAGAATGGGATCCTTGTGAACAAATGCTCATAGAACCTGGTATTAAAGCTACTGCACTCTGTCTTTAAAGGGCAACAGTATTATTCCTGTTGCAGAAAGAAGTGCCCCCTTTTAATATAGCATCTTGTACAGTAAATGAATTTAGCTTTTGATTATATACAGTAAATAACCTCAAGGGGCAGGAATTTAGCTATCACACCTTGAATTATTCTGCTAAGTCATCTAACACTCAGAGGCAATTAGCAAAAGAAAGAATGAACATAGGGACTAACTCCCCATATGAGCTCTGGCAATTCCACCACCTTGTAAGATCACACATGAACAAGAAATTGACTCTCAATGGGTACATCTACACAGCCATAAAAAACCCATAGCAGAGTCCCAAGGCCTGCGTCAGCTGACTCAGGCGCATGGGGCTTGGACTGTAAGGCTAAAAGGTAGCAGCGTAGACCAGTGGTTCTCAACCTGTTTACCATTGTGGGTTGAATATGCAGCTCTGTATGTGTTATGTTGGCCACATCCACACAATATATATACTACCTTTATGGCCCTGAGGATGTCATATGGGGTCGCAGCTGTGTGCTGATAGGGCCGAAAGCAGCTCACAGGTTGAGAACCACTGGTGTAGACAACTGGGCTTGGGCTGGAGGCCAGGTTCTGAGAGCTTCCCCCTTTTTGGGGTGTCACAGCCCAGGCTCCAGCCCAAGATTGAATGTCTACACTGCTTCTTTTAGCCCTGCAAGCCCATGTCATCTGACCTGGGCTCCAAGACTTAATGCTGCAGGTCTTTTATTGCTGTGTACATGTACTCAATGAGATAAAATTCTGTCAACTGATGAAAATGCATGAGCTCCACACATGACCTAGGGTCATGACCGTTCCCACTAAAAAACAAAAGATGAAGCTACTGAAAACAGTTTGGTTTATTTCCAGGATCAAATATTACAATAGGACATTTACATATATTTATAAAAAATGCAGCAGTTGTTTATATAGATTAGAGAGGTTTCCTTGAGTTTGGTCCCTCCCAGCACAGTGAGCTGAAATCTTCCAAAGACTTCTCCTCCTCCCACTTAGTTGCATCATAATTAAAGAAAATTGCTGCTGTACAAAATGACAGGCAAAGTCACAATTTTGCACAGTTAAAAACTACGTTTATCAACTGGAGGAGCCAACCCCATAAACAAACAACATATTGTATCAGAGTGCACAATGTGCCTGGTTAGACACCACACTTCTCAGACTCAGTTGAGTTTTTTTGTCAGATTCAGATTTTTGTCAATTAAAGCTGTTCTATAAAATAGCACCTCATCCCCCTCCTTCATCTAGGTTTATACTATATCCTCTTACGACTCAAAAGTTCCTATACCTTTAAACAATTATAAGATACAGGATTATTACTCTCTTCTGTACTGAAGGTGTACTGGTGGAAATAATGACAACTGACAGTGACCGAGTCCAGAATTACTATAATTATTAGTAATGTATTTTTGCATAATGGTAGATGACAAAACGGAGGCAATTTAAGGCATAAGGCAGTGACACTAAGTGCTGCATTCTTCAATAAAATGCCAGTACGGCCATTTTTATTGGGACTGGATAGACATTGTAAATGATCTCACAGCTAACTATTAAGAAATTCAAATAAAATTCTCCTGTATGACACAAGGCTGCGTCTATTAACCTCACAGGTTCAAAAAGCAAACAGCAGATCATAACTGAGCTGGAATAAAATCGAGCACTTTTCTGGCATACAAGGGAAAATCCTTGTAAAATAATTCTTTTAGAATGCCTGTGGCAGTAATGTACACAGATTTCAACAGCAGTTGTCGAAATCTGTTCTGATTAATTTGCAGAGGAAATAGTTAGAAGCTGGAAATTAATGAAAATTCCAACTCAGGTAGGTGTCTGGCACATTTATATGGGTCAATACTTTACCCAATTTTGAGTTATTTGATTAAAAAGAACATTCTAGCCTTTACATAACAGGGGGAGATTGCTTTTTAAAAAATAGCATAATCAGAAATGTTAACACAGCATGACAAAGGCATGCCTACCTATCCTTCACGCAACTGAAGGCTGTCAGTATTTATACTTAATATAGCCAAAGCATGTCATACATCTCCATGCCCTGGACTGCATCACTGTGTTAACTATTAGCTTGGTAAAAGAAAGGGTGGGGAAAAAAAAAACAACCCAAAAATGACTTAAACTGATTCAAGCAGAACTGCTGAATTAGGCAAGAAGAGTGTGTGGGGGGGGGGGGAGGGGGGAAACAGCTAGTAGCTAGTCCACAAAGCCACTACAAGGATAACTGCTAAAGGGACGTCTCAAAGGATA